TGAAATTCACTATATGATAATATATAGTTCTAATTCTAGATTAAACCTCTGATGAATAAAAGGGTACATATATTTGCTATAGATATTTAGTATTAGTATTTATGACAAATATCTGTGTCTCTTGTTGTGTATCTTTTTGTTAACTTAGCATATATTTTATTAAAAATAAATATTTCTGAAATCCTTTGACTTATTTTTAATATCTACTGAATGAAAAAAATAAACTATAAATGTTCCTTACCCAATCGTTCTTTTCAGTAAATCACTATTATACCATATACCAATACCATATAGATATTTACAATATCTTAGACCCTGACTCTATGCTGACTAAGTGGATCTCAATTTTTGTAATCACCATCCTAACTATCTTATATTGTATACAAATTTAACAAATTCACACTCGGTAAAATAATAAACATTTATTTTTATTAAATTTCAGTTCTTCAAATCAAAAGCAAACATTCTATTTCTTACTCACATAATGGCTAATTTAACACAATCTCTTCAATAAATTTTATCACCAACTAACAATATATGTGAGCACATTCCTTCTCCGGATTTTGTGTGTTTTTTATATTTTTATATACAATAATTATTTGAATGTCGTTAGTTTGGTAGGTATATTAGGTTAGTTGTAGAATAGCTGTCATTACGAGGTTTATATAGAGAGTACTGTAAAGTATGGGTACAAACAACTCAACAATCACAAAATTAACAATAAAACTATAACAAAAACGGAACACTATGAATTTTACTTATAAACGTTATATGTTTTAAATGTACCAATAAATATTTTTTTGAAACTATGAATTTACAATGAAATCTTTTAAAAAGCGTATAACTTTACACAAAATAATAAATAAATAAACCAATAAACATAAAAATTTAACATTAATGTTATTAAATATTAAAACAAATAACGTTATATAGGTATTTATTCATTTTTGCAATTATTTTTCCAATGAATTTTATTTTCAATTCAATGACATACTTGTACATAAAAGAACATAAAATTTAAATAAATTATTTGAAATTATAATTAACACAAATTACAATATTAATATATTGTTAGACACCAACATTAAAATTATTAACATACAAAAATAAATAATAAATAATTAAATACATTAAATTATAAACATTACAAAATATGCATATAAAATAAATGAATTTTAATATAATACAAGCTGTTTTCAAATAAATTATTCATATTAATAAAAATTAAAACATATAGCTTAAAAAATGATTTTTATAAATAGTTTTGAATTTTTAACAAACAAATATACCAAGTAAATACTTCATAATTCATATTTTAATAGCACAATTAAAATATTTTTAAAATTATTGGTTAACAAAGTTTTGTTTCAGTGTACTGAATTATTTAAAAAAATTAATTTTATTTCTTACTTAAAATCATTCTATTGTAAATGTATATATAAATTAATATATTATTCCTATCAATTATATTTATATAATTTAATATGCACTAAAAAATAATATATAAATAGTATAACATAAGATAATATGGAGATTACTTAAATATCGGTAAACCTTTTTCAGTTCTCAATGTAATTATATAATAAAATAAACGAATACGAAAAATAATACCTTAAAAAGATAGATATAAGAAGAGAGAGGCATAGGGGAGAAGACGAGATTGACAATGGGAGAAAGAGAGGAAAGGGGGGAAAAAAGTTAAGGACAAATGATTTCATAAAAACCGGGGTAAAAAGGAAGGGACAGTGGAAGGGATACAGAAAGAAATAGAGAGATGTAAAGATAAAAGGAAAAGAGAAAAATGGAAAGAGAGACAGAGAGTCACATATAGTACGGATGTATCAAATTGAAAATCTAATATATCTGTACTATTGAATAAAAAAATAAAATGTGTTGATAATATTTAGGTTACAGAACTCAAGATTTATATGATACAAAGAAATAAAATATATAAGCTCTAGATAGATTTGTAACAAACTATTATTTATAAGGTCAAGTCTGATTTTTAATATTGAACTATTTTTAATATGTAGAAACAGAAGATTTCTTTAAGATGTTGTTGTTAAGACTTTTTTTTATCAATTATTCAAAAGATATTTAGTATCGTCTTACCTTAAGGCACGAATCTCAATTGCACTAGTCTAAAACATTTATTAATAAATAAATTTGGGATATTTAAAATTTTTTGAAGAACTTTTTGAAGAACTCTAAATTAAATAGTTAAAATTTGAAATTGATTATACTTTTATCATTCAATAACTTCATGATGCACTCTTAGTGCATTAGTAATGTTGTCCTGCGATTTATTTCTTGTGCCATCAGCCTCTCGTTCTCTGATGATGAGATAAGTCCATAGTTAAGAAGAATAAAGTGGAGCAAATCATTCCGTCAGTAGCATTTGAAGCAAATTTTGATGGAAAAAGATGATAGAGGTTCTTTGCTCTACCGGGAAAAGATGGTACTAATCTAAGATGGTTAATAAGTTTCTAGAACAAAATCGTCCAAAAACTGTGATCAGAATGGAGGAATAATAGATTAAAACTTGTTTCAACGTTCATATGTAGCTAAGACTTGCTGTTTTATAAAAAACTTTTATTTGGCCTTTTAATAATCTTAGATAAACGCTGTGCCATCTATGTCATTGTAAAAAAATTTTACAAACATATAGTTCTAATATTACTGGTCGTGTCAGTAACATTTACAATTTAAACTATTGTAACTTTTAATTTGTTTTTCGAAATATGAAGTCTCCTGGATAAACGAAAATGTAAAGAAATAAATATATTTCATATATTATATATTAGTGCAATGTTATACAGGCAGTCATGGTCACAACGAATATGAAATTTTCACACTGACGAGGTTTTCTGTACCCCGTTACGTTAGTCAAAACACTATTGTTTTGATAGTTAGAAAGTGTGTTGTTTTAGAGAAAATATTAGCTTTTAAAATTAGGGATATCAAAAAATATTAAAATAATAGTACAACATTTTTTTTGATCATGACCATAAAGAGCTTAAAATGCCGCCACCATTCGTCATATAACTGTCTAAAAAACATTCTAAGAGATTAAAAATTTTAGTCATTTTGGGAAATAATTGGGTAGTAAATGTGATCTTCCAAGGAAACCTAAAAGAAATCTTCCAAATAACTTTTTCAAAGCTTATTTTATAATCATATGTCAATATAAAATTTTATCTAAAAAATAGTTTCAAAAATAAACAAAATTTATTCCTAAAATTTAAAGATTTCCTTAAATATTTTACATTTATATTATTAAATTACAAGTGATCAAAAATGATATTTTATATAGTATGAACTACCAATAAAAAAATCAAAAATTGTCTCTCTCTCTCAGCGTCAATATATCTTATAATTCATTAATTTGATCGAATATTTATAATATTAATATTAGTTATAATATAATTATATTATTATTAATAATATTCGATTAATTATTACAATTCTGAAATCTTCTTTTGATTTGTGACATTTTCATATTACATTACTTACATGATTTAGGTAAAACTATAAAGATATTTAAAAAAATAGGCAAAAACATTTTCTCCAATACAAATAAACTGTTGAAATATTTTAATTTGAGACAGGCCTTGAGATAATTATTAATAGATGTGTGTGACTAAACTTAGTCTTACAATAGAATAGTAAATCAAATTATGGAACAAATATTTAAAGTATGTGGTATAGCTTGAGTAATATAAGAGAAATTTTAAATTATTAAATACAAAATTTATATAAAAGATTTGTGATATTTTCAGTCTTTAAAAAATTTTAGAACCGCTTGATTTTTTTATCAATGATCTTATCTTAAACATAGATGGGAATACAGTGAAAACTCTCTTGAGTGGATAGTTATTGATAGTCACTTTCTGTTCGATTTGGAGAGATTTTCGAGTAAAAGCTGTTCCAAATAATATGGAAAAGAAAATTTGTCTTTTGAAATGCTCTCCACCCAAGATAGATGTCCCTTCAAGAAGGGGCTATCTTATAAGTGCTATCACTGTATATATGTATATATTAAAATAATGAAATTATTAATTTTTATAAATAATAAAAATATTAAAATTAATTCAAAAGTTTTTTGAACAGTAGTAAATTACAACAACAAAACTATTATTTTTAATTAATAGAGAGGTTTCGAACAACAAAAATTATTTTTATATATTTTTTTAATTAATTACATTTTTGGCTGACCATACAGCTGTTGCAAGTATTGTTAAATACCCATCATCAATGGTCTTGGATATAATTCTTATATTTAATTATTTGTAAATAATTTTTTGAGACTGCAAGTACCAGAGACCGAACTTGTGCCCTTAGCAATACTCGAAACAGCTGTATGGTCACTCAAAAATTCAATTAATTAAAATAATATAAAAAATAAAATTTTTGTTGTTATAGTTCCCTACTGTTCGAAAAAACCTGATTATTATTTTTATTAATTAAATTATTAACTGTTCAAATAACCTTTATATTAAAAAATAGTTTCTGATAAGAAACTACTTTCTTTTGTCATAATTGATTTTAAATATCAGATTTAAATGTTAATTTATTTCAACAAAATCTCAATATTAAAAATACACAAAAAATTTACTAAAAATTACAACAATAAATTAATTAATTATCTAACATAGATTTTTATAATTAGTTAAAATTAATTCATATTCAATACATATAATTCTCTAAAATAATTTGTTTAACAGTAATAAACTATATAATTAACATTGTTAACCAATTTTTATTTGTAATTTGGCAGCAAGTTTTATGTTTATTCGATAATTAATTTATCAGAGAGTACAGATTTAATTTATTTTTTTTTTCTTAATGGAATAAATAAAACAACAAAAGCACAAAGAATACACAGTTACAAACACAAAAATATATTTTTTTTTTGTACAAAATACATAAACACAACACGAAAAGCAAACAATATATTTTGTTTCTGTTTTTATTTAGGTCTTAAGTTTTTGTTTGTTTATTTAGAACAGAAAATCTAAAACATTGAAAATAACGGTGACAAAATTATTACTTCCGCTGTTGCTTGTGCTGGCATTATGACGACCGCCATTACTGCCGCTAACATTGCCGCCAGTGGATCTGTTATGTGCCTGTAATGTGGAATTTAATGACTGATAATGTGAAGCTGAAGAGGAATCAGAGCGCAAACGCTGACGATTAGTGCCACCCAAGCGCCGTCGCTGTGACATGGGTGTCGAGTGGCGAAAGCGTGATGTAAACACATAGTCCACTTCTTCAGCTTCGACTGGCATGGATATTGCGTCAGTGGCAATAGCGGAACCGCTTATCGATTGATGTAACAATGACGTAGGCGCGGTATTAGTTATGCTAGTATTTGTGACATTCGGTGTGGCGAAAGGAAAATTAAGTTCATCCGCTGTAGCCACAGTTGAAAAACTACAATTCAAGTCACTTACGGAATTGGCACGTGTGGATAGTGTCTGCTTGCGTGGACTATGATACAATTTGGTAGGTGTTTTTGTGTAAGTGCTTAAAAATGTGGAGAGATTCGAATTAATGCAATTACCAATTGTCGGATCATCATAGTAGCCACGTACCACAAACTCATCATCAGCGCCCACAAATGAAACATCATCGTGATCATCATAATGCAACGCATCAGTGGAGTAATAATGTGAATTACAAAGTGATTTTGTATTTGTGTGTGTTTTAGTGGTTTGTGCATGCATTTGTGGAATGTATTTGACATTATTATTATTACTGTTAATGTTACTGTTACGATTACTGTTATTGTTACTGTTACTGTTACTGTGACTGTGACTGTGACTGTTACAACTCATATTGGACAAATCCAATGATGTACGTTTCTGTTTGGAGTGTATTTTGTTGATTTTCATTAAATGTTGACGATTACTTAGTGTGTAATTAAGAGAAAGATTATTTTCTTTGTTGCTGCTGTTGTTATTGAATTTTGTATAGTTTATGTTGTTGTTATTGCTGTTATTGTTGTTATTGTTACTGTTCGGTATGTAGTTATGATTATTATATATGTTACTGTCAATACAAGATGTAGTAGTTGTACTTGTTGTTATATCATGATAATTCTTATTATAACTGTTATTAGTAGAATTGATAGTAGAAGTATTGGATGCAACATAGCTACCGGAATTTGTATCTGCAAATAGGCGACGATTTCCTCCAATTGCTGCAAATGCATTGTTGGATTTTTCAACATCAGCTACTTGTTGTGGTATTAGAAATGCTCTTCTTTGCATTGCTGTGGAATGTAAATGTGATTCATAATCAAAGCTTTCGTCCGTGTCCATATGCTCTGGTTGTAGATACTGCTTTGGTTGTTGTTGTAACTGATGCTGACGTTTTTTGTGATACATATAGAATGCACTGCCAGCTACCTCATCATCTTCATCATCATCGCCAAAATCAGTGCAATGTGGTCGCATATCTCTAGTGCTGCCACCACCTAAATAACGTTGCTGATTCTGATAATCATCGTATTGTTGTTGCTGTTGTTGTTGCTGCTGTGTGACGGCGAGACAACAGTTGCTACATGTATTTGGCAATTGCAATGCAAGACCGTCTTTAGGACCCAAGAACCATTCTGAACGTGTGCGCATGCGTGCAGTTTGGCGTTCATGGACCTTTTTTATTGCAATTTTTCATATATCAAATTTTAACATAGTTAATTTGTACAGCATTTTTAAAATTGTAATTTTATTTTTTAATTTGTTGTAGAGTTGAACGTGTTGTAGTTGTTGTTGTGATAGTGGACGTTGTTGTAGCAGTGATAGTAGCGTTGAGTGGTAGTTGTGATGGTGCACACGAGCGACACATTAAAATACAATACGAGTATGTTTTTATAGAGCATCATAACGGAGTTGGTGTGTAAGTGAAAAGGGGATTTACAAAAATAAAAGTACTTAATTTTGTTAATTGTTTTACGTAATTTCAACTAAATTTCATTTGAAACAATAATTTA